GAAGTCTAAAAAATTTTGCCTAATAAAAATGGATTAAATTTTGGGAACATACAACTCTACACTAAGATCGAGTAAGATATACAATAATCTAAAGTACACATAAACAAAACATTCTTTAAAAAATAAAAATAATAACATCAATACATAACAACTTTTACATATAAATTGACTAAAATATCCAATCAGGTTCAATACACATATTAAATATCCTTAAAGCCAAAAAAAAAAAATGTGTAATAAAAAAAAAACCCTTATATTTATATGGACATGTATAATGAAAGAGACATAAATTGATGAAAATTAGCAAATGATTACTTGTAAAATAATTAAAAAACAGGATATGTAGAAATGGAAAGCATATTATTAAAGGTGGAATTGGAAATAGGTGATAATAATTTTAAAATAAACTGAACCATTAAATGGTCTTTTTATGTATTGCAACAAGAGGTACAACTGATATGAATGAGAATGACTGAACCAAGAAAATAACTTGTCTTTCATGCGATAGCGAATGTTAGATGGCATAAATAAACAATAGAATTGTATAAAAAAGATGGTAACAATTACAGCAAGGTAATAAGATTTCCTTACCCATAACAGCAATAAGCTTTCATTTTCTTACCAAAACTTTATGCCAGTAACATCTATTTTCTCCTACTAAAGATGATCTAATTTCACACTTTAGTAAAGTAAACCATCCGACCTGACATAAAGAAGTTCATGTTTACACCAATATGCCCGTTAAACAAAGTGGTGGACCATTTTGCTCGGTAGTTACTGATGGGTTTTTCAATTTGGTTATATGAAAGATTTTGCAATGGTTGTTAAAAATGAAATCGAGTAATTATAATAGGTGTGGGAGAATCTTAGAATACAAATTAGTATTTTTCACATTTTTTGATATAACCAAGTATACAAGCCGATCGGTAACTACCAAGCAAAAGAATCAATCACTTGGTTTAACGGGCATATTTGTGTCAAAATGGTATTGTTTATTTAGGCAGGACAGTTTGATTAACTAAACTGTGAAAGTAGATTATCTTCACGACGAAAAAATAAAGGTGAATGGTATAATTTTTGGGTAAGTAAATGAGAGTAAATTGGTATTATGGGTAAGGAAATGAAAGTACGTTGTTATAACTATATATGAAAATGTGTCATAGTCTATTGTAAAAAGATTATAGCTAATTAAAGAAAATTTGTTATTATTTTAAATGAAACTAAATCTTAATATTAATAGATAATTCAGTTGTGCATATCAAAAGTTAGTCTATAGTAAAGAATTTATAAGTAACTTATTTATTGAACATTAGATTAATTAAAAGAAAACCATTTTGTAAAAGTTGCAATGACCTGTTATAATTATGCAGTTAGATCAATACTAACAAATTGAGTACTCTTGATTTATCTTTATAGCCATTATTTCATCTGTTTTCTGTCAAGTAAATGAAAATCTTTTATGAGAATGAGTAGTATAACAAAATTAGCACGTGACACTTAAAAAAAAAAGTCGATTACCAATAATTTTAATTGGCTTGTTGGGTCTTTCATGTTGGAAACTGTTGAAGGGCCAGGAAATGATAAACCAAAATTAAGCCCACCATAAAAAACAACCTAGTTTAAGTTTCCATCTCACCAAAACATGAGGCAAGTATCACATTCAACCGTAAGCACAGAATGAGGTTGATTCGTTCTACTTAACAAGTACAGTAAACGTAAGAAAGATTAGTTAGTAAAACTTATATCCAAATGGCATACATTACAAGCTTTACATATTTAAATATATGATATAGTCTACCTAATCTCCTAATCTAATGTTTAGATTTCATCTTGTTGGTGAAGTTTTGTCACTTCCTGATTGAATACTGTTCCAGAGGGGTGTGGTTTCAATACCATGTGAGTAGGTTACAGCCAGTAAGAAAGTAAACACATACATATTGACATGCAAAGCAAGAAAGACTGTCATGTTCAAATTGATTTCAATAAGGTTAATTGTGTTTGTAAAACATAAAACCGAGGGAGATCCTAAAAGATACTATGTAAAGATGTTTAATAAAACTGAATTGAGAAATAGAGTAAAGATTAAGGATGTCCTCAAATGTGAGTACGAACAGCGAAGATGTTTAGAAAAAAATATTTTATATTCAAATCAACTGATAAAAGGTAGCTGACCTTTTTCATTGAAAAGCAATGAAATACCATGCATCCTGTAGTTGCAAGGATCAACAGCTAACTGTGGTAAAAAGAATATTAAATGGGTACATGAATAAAAGAAAAATAACAGGAAGTTGTAGGAAAAGTACCTACATCGACAGCTGATGAGCATGTTGTAAAATCTCTTTATAGACGATATTCTTAGTTGTTATATTATTTGAGCTACCATATGCAGATCCCGTTATAAAAACTTTAATATTGTTTATACTTTTTGCTCTCGAAAGTGCTACATACAACTGACCGTGAGAAAAAACAGGTTCTTTCAAGTAAATACCAACATAATCAAGTGTTTGACCTTGAGCTTTGTTAATGGTCATTGCAAAACACAATCTAATTGGGAACTGAAATCTTTTAAATGGAACTGTATATTGTTCTCCTGTTGGTGGCTGTAATGGAATTCTATGAAGCAAAACCTCTTTTCCAGCAAATTCTCCATAGCTTATCTCTGCACGTATAACATTCCTTTGAAAATCTTTACCGAAAAGTCTAGTACCATTACATAAACCTTCAAAGGGGTTCATGTTCCGCAACAAAATAATAGGAGCATTATACTTAAGAACAAGTTTATGAGGTGGCATACCATTTGGTGTTAAGGAATGAAGTAAATCCTCATACTGGGCCTGATCATTTGGATCAATAGTCTCATCAAGACTAAAATATTCAATCTCTTCTCCGGGCAATTTGTATATCAAAGTATCATTAATCTCATCTACAAAAGTATTTTTAGTTGTTAGAACAACACGATTACAAGTGGGAGAGAAAGTGGCAGGAGTAACAAAAATGTTAGGATAAACATATTTCATAAGAGCTTCCAAACCGTTAACATCATTACAACCCTGAATAAGCATTGATGATGGTAGAGAAACAACCGCATCGTCTGTATGAGTTCCTATACCATTACCAAGTGCCAAAAGGAAACTTGAAAAAAAAGGATCCAATAGAGCTCGCATGTTTTCTGTTAGCTGCAAATGGGTAAGAGATTGCCATAAATAAGAATTAGTTAAACAAGCAGAAATAGTTTGTGTTTCACTTCCTAGCCTAACAACAGGAAGAGTTTGTCTAAAATCACCACCAAGAACAACAACTTTACCACCAAAAGTAGTTGAACAGTCCATTATATCTCTAAGTAGACTATCCAAGGATTCAATTGCAGATTTCTTTGCCATTGGAGCCTCATCCCATATAATCAACTTACAAATCCTAATCAGCACTGCTAAAGAGCTTTGTTTACTAACCTTACATACAAACCCTTCAGCCGCATCCAAAGGTATTTTAAAACGCGAATGAGCTGTTCTGCCACCAGGTAATAATGATGCTGCAATACCTGATGTAGCTGTAGCCAAAGCAACATGACCTTCAGATCTAATTTTAGCCAATAAAGCTCTATATAAGAATGTTTTCCCAGTGCCACCTGGACCATCGATAAAGAAACAACCAGGTTTATTGCAGCTAACTGCATCCATTATCATTTCAAAAGCAACCTTCTGTTCTTTATTAAGAGTATATATTGCAGCCAAATCTTCAGTGGAAACAACAATATTTTTTTCTGTTTTAATCTCTCTAGTGTCGTCTTCCATCAACCGATCAAATGAATTTTGGGGTAGAACATCAAACTGATGAAGACGTCTTCCCATTGACTGCAGAAAACAATCAATCTGTTTAAATGCACGGGCATTAGATTCTTTGTGTGTCTCTTTGTGGTGGCGTAAAATGTCTTCCATCATTGCATCTTCAAATAACAACCACAACTTGCGCGGACTATTTGGACAGGTAAAAACTAAAAGTGAAGCAAAAAGCCTTCTCAACTCATATGGCATGTGAAAAGTAGAAGCTTCTTGCATACATACTTGTTGAGTAGCATCGTCAAGTAAATAACCACGTAACAAAGCAGCTTCTCTAAAGGTAGCAACAGTTACCCCGTTAATCATTTTTAAATCAGCAAACGATTTAGGACAGCGAACTCTAGACAAAAGAATTCTAAGATAATACCTTTCGCCTTCAGTTGGATGGGCAATCACAATACGACCAATTGAGTCGCTTATTTTCCGGGGTGACCACATCTTTTTATCCCCCTTCCAAACAAAATGATCAGGAAACTGATTGTATGTGAGCTTAAGCTTTTTTGCTAAAACTCCAATATCATTTTCAACAAAAAAACTCAGTCAACATAGTTTTTCTTTGACCAGAGTTACTCAGAATATTAACCAATGTTGATTTACGTTTGAATGTCAAAGGCTGATAGTTTTCTAAATGCAAGGGCAAATGAATAACAGTTGGTTTCATTTCACCCAAAGGAAATTTAAAAATTCTCCATTCACCTTCAGGAGGAGATACCCATCGACCTGATTGATACTCGTCAATCTCATTTATAAGGACAGGGTTTGTAATTGGAGAAATATTAAAGCTTATCTTGTCAGAACCCTTACAAATATACTTATATATATACTTCACAGCCTTTATTGATGAACAAATTTCTATATTAATGTGACAATTAAATTTACAAAGCAAATAGGCATTATACGGAACGACCCATTTATTATTAAGAATAGCACCTCTGACTTTCACTTCAGACCCATCGTTACGTCTATGATATATAGGATATGCATCGTCTGTCTAAATAGTCTGAGAAGAAAAGTCTTTTGGGTAAAGATTTTTACAAGAACCCTTCTTTTTCATACATACGTTAAAAGGATTTAAAGAGCCACATGGACCATGAATCATATGTTGCACAACCATCCTAAACAAATAAGGATTTGCACTTTCTGATGGTATTTCTGCAGAAACAATTTTGTCAAAGTCTTCAGGTGTATGCATTTTACAATTGCTTTCTAATATAAGCAAAAAATGTGCATGTGGAAGTCCTCTTTTTTGGAATTCTATAACGTAAGTGTGAGCACAAATTTCTCCGAAAATGTTATTCTTGAAAAGTTCATGTTTAAGTTGTTCTACTTTAGCATGAAAAACTCTAGCAATCAAATCAGCTCTATTTTGGACTTCTTCATATGGTTTAAGATTTTCTTTTATTTCAGGCCAATTAGGATTGCACGTCATAGTTAAAAAAATATCAGGCTTACCGAACTTTTGTACCAAGGCCATTGCATCTACATATTTTTGTCTCATGTTTCTAGGGCCGCCAATAAAATTCGAAGGTAATACTATTCTTCTACCAATAGCAGAACCCTCTGTTTCCCCTTTTGCCATTGCATCCACAACTCCTTGCAAGAATTCTTGTCTTATTTCTTCCTGTTGTATTCTAAAAAAATCTAGTCTTTGTGTTTCTAATTTAACATAGCTGTCAACTATATACTGCTGTAGTAATCTACCAAAATAGAGTAAATAAGTTGTGTCATCATGCCTTATCTGAAGCTTATAAGCGTAATACTCTCTAACATATACAACCTTGGGGTTATCTACATTTCTTCCAAGCACTGTATAAAAAAGAGAAAAGAAGTAAAGCACAATACATTTTTCCAAAAAAAAAAATAGAAAGAGTAAGTATTTTACCAGTTTCTTCCATCTTTAATAAGTCATCCGCACACGCTATACTACCCGGAGCAATAAGTTTTTCTGCAGCTGAACACAAACCCTGCTTTCTAACTTGGGTTGTTTTATTTTTTTTTAGAATACCTTGATGCCAACCTAGTTCTCCAAAAGGAAACATTAAAGGATATTGTAGAGGATCATAACAGCCATAAAAATACTTTATATTTCTAGAGTCAGCTTCATGGGTTGTAACTCGGATATCTCTTGGACCACACTCCCCATTATCTTCACCGTCCACCCAAATTGCAGCAACCTGTGATACATCGGGTTTATTATAGACTCTTTGGTCTTGAACAACAACAGTTTTAAGAACAATCTTATAAGTATCTAAGTCTCCAATATTCTTCAAATTCCGAAAAAAATAAGCGTACGGATTATGTTGAAGATATTTTATACACTTCTGAACCAGAGTTTCACATATCAGTGGACAAACCATTAACCTATTTTGAATCTCATGTTCAGTATCATGAATATATAACTGCAGATTTTTATGTCGGTCATTTTCAGAGTATAAACCATTAATAAAATGATACATCTGACCTTGAACTCTAAAAGTATAAATCCCGCTGTCTCTCTTATTGAAATTAGGATCAGATGTAACACCTAAGGATGTAAAAGCGAAATGGTTATTATATGTTCTAATATATGTTCTAAAAACCTTTGCTTCGTGACAGTCTGAAGTTAGTAGTTCAATCATGACTGTTGGAAGGTGATTACTATACAAGACAACACTGTCATCTAAACAACAAAAACCAGATGTTTCTGAATAGAACTTTAAAGCACCACAATGATGACAGTCAGGAACGTAAGGTAAGATATCAGCAACAACAGGAATGAACTTTAATAGAGCTCTACCTGTTGCATGACCGGCAAAATTATGCTTATTTTTACGATTCTCTTGCTTTGAAATAGATTTCCTTATGTAATTTTTTTTTCTGTTCAAGTCTTTGTTGTTTCCATCTTAAAATTGCACGTTTCCTATATGCTTTCCTATCCTCAAACTCCAAAGAAGGCTGAACATCCTTCATGATAGATTTATCAACCTTTTGCAATAAAAACAGATGAATAACATAAGCAACAAAACAAATATTACTAACCTAAAAAATAGCATAACCCATTAGATTTATATAGACTTTTAGTAAATTGGATAACATGTTTTGTAAAAACAATAAGGAAAACCATTTGAAATCAGGGTAAAAGAAGAAACATGATAACACTTTTCATGTAATAGCAACATCGTGAACAATTGGAAAAAGAAAATATACAAAAAATACTCAAATGGCACAGAAATAGAACTGTCATTCATACCTTCGGTCCTCCTAATTAGCATGCACAAAATCCTGCTGCACAACTAACTCGAACCTTTATAAACCCTCAGAATAAGTAAAACCCTCGAAATAAGTAGGCAGATCTAAGAAGATTGAAGCAACGAATTCAATAGAATCTCAACTCTTGTAATGTGAAAAGGAAAAAAAAAAAAAAAAAAAAAGACAGAAATAGAACTGGCATTCATACCTTCGGTCCTCCTAATTAGCATGCACAAAATCCTGCTGCACAACAAATTCGAACCTTTATAAACCCTCAGAATAAGTAACCCTCGGAATAAGTACGCAGATCTAAGAAGATTGAAGCAACGAATTCAATAGAATCTCAATCTTGTAATGTGAAAAGGCAAAAAAAGTCAACAAATAAATAAATGTCAGAAACAATAAACACCAATTGATTTAATTGGGCAAAAAGTTAAACCGTTTAGTTTAATTGGACCATATCTTAGACAACATACAGCTCCAACACGTATCACTATAGGCGGTGTAGCAAAGAATTGCAAAATTAACTGCGTGGGGAGAAAACTGTTTGGGATAAGCACCAGGTAAACGGTAATAAAGCCCAAATTTTATTAGTCAAGAATAAAACAAAAGTAAAACGGTAATAAACCCCAACTTTTATCGGTTAACAATAAAACAAAAGTGACCACAAAAGGAGACATCAATTGGACCAAAAATTGGAAAAGTAGAACAACGACACATCTTTACAACCTAAGCCTAGCAGCTATAACCTAAGCCTACAACTATAATGCCAAAAAATAGAGTAAATAAAGATATATGTTAAAAGTTGCCGGCACACTTTTATTTATTGGAGGAGAATATATAGACATATATGTTAAAATTACCGGCAAAATTTTATTTATTGGAGAAAATAAGCACCTCAATGACGTGCACCAAAGTAGTAATCTCAAACATATAGGTAATGATATATATATATATATATATATATATATATATATATATATATATATGTATATAGAGAGAGAGAGAGAGAGAGAGAGAGAAAGAGAGAGAGAGAATGATAGAGATATGTTGATTTATTGGTTTATTATAAGATTAATAAATAACAATAAATAATTGATTAATATATTATGAAGTTAATTTATTAATTACAAAATAACATTATTTAATTAATACTTAATCAGAAATTAATTGAAATTAATTGGATTAATTAAAAGTGCAAGGACCTACGATGTAATTGTTCAATAGTTGAACAAGAGAATGATTCTAGAATTATATAGGGTAGGCCGAAAATATGGAGCCTTCTTAGAGTTCTAGATTAATCCTTAAGGATAATAAGAAATGTGAATAATTATCTAATTTGAGATTAGTATTATATTCAAATTTGGGTTTCTAGAGTTTCCTAATTTAACTATATAAGGAGCCATGGAGCTTAAATTTTCGGTTACTATTTTCTCAAGAAGAAAAGACAAAAATCCCATCATCCCTCCTCCTTCCTCTCAAGTCTTCTATTTCTAGGGTTTGGATACAAACCATTAGAGGCACGAGATTTATGGTGTTTGCTTTCGGAAGTTTGTTTAAAAATAAATTGTTGATTATTTGCTACAATAATCAAAAGATATTTAAAACTAAAACTAAAACCTAAAACCCTTTATGAATTTAGATTATAATAAGGAATTCCTAGATTTCTTTGATGTTGATAGATTATAACATTCAATAAAGAAAATTTAGATCTAAATACGTTGCATATGAATTTAATGGTTACGTTTTTTCACCACATGAATTTTAAATATAACTCATAAAACTCATCACTCTTTTCATGTAAACGTATATATACAATTTATACCTTAAAATTTGTTTTTAAAATTCTTTATTCATTTCAAAAAAAATTATACGTGTATTTAATAATACGCTTAAATACATTTAAATGAGAAAAAAACTTTAAAAACTATAAAACTATATATATATATATATATATATATATATATATATATATATTTATACATATTTTTATGTAATTATATTTTTTATACATAAATATATATTTAAAATGTATTTATAAATGTATAGGCAAGATTAGTGGTCAAAAGTTAATATTACGAAATCATCAACGAATAGATTAGAACTCGAGACTTCCAATCTAAAAGGTGAACCTCTACCTAATAGGCTAGTCTCACCAATATTTGTATATGTATTTACTTAATAATATTGATAATAAAGAATTTTACAAA